TATTCTTCATATTTCTGTTATGATTATTATTGTTTTATAACAACTTTTATAAATTAATTAAAGTTTGTATATAATTTACTTAGCATAAGATTTTCTTACAATTATGAACTAAACTATATACTATGATATCAAATTATCTTAATATCTAATTAACACAAAATTGCATATCCAGTGGTTTGAAGCGTTCTAGACGTTGAGTTGTGAAGCTATAATCTAATAAGTTAACTTCATTTGCATATGAATCAAGCTTCTCCTTGTGTTCAAAGATAAACCTGAGATTACAATTTTCATAAAAATATATATAATATAAAATTTATACAAAACAACAATTATATATAAATATATTTATAATGTTTAAAAATTTATTAATATGTGTTTCCACAAATTAAGTTTTTATTAAAACATTAATACTATTAATTATCAAAAACAAGTCAATATTAGTTGATTTATAATAATCACGAGAAAGATTTCTCGAACTATGTTCGGTGAAAACCTGGAATGAACTAATTTACTTAATAAATAATGAATGTTTTTTCTCATTTATTTTTAAATTTTATTGATTATGTGACAATACAAAATAAACAAGGTATTCCGTGAAATTTTCAGAATTTTTGAAGTATTCCGTCGCAAAGAAAAACTCTGTATTACAGGATGGAATTAACGTAGAATAATTAATAAAGAAAGTGTTATGAATAAAAAAACATAAATTTTGATTTCTTGTCCAAAAATATCATATAATTGATTATAATGATTTTATTTATGAAATACTTAGAAGAATAATACAAAAAGTATATCTACAACATCTATAACGGCAACAATATTAATAGTGCCATGCTCCATTATTTTATAAGAAAAACTCTATCCTCTATATTTTTTGCTACGAAACTGTAATTTTATCATCTATAAACCACTATTCCACAATGCTCTCAGATTTCCCAAAGCTCCAACGGATACCACAATTTAATATAACTTTGGTAACATTCGTAGCTTATTTTTCCTCGTTAGTTAGTGAGTTCTTGCGTATCTCATGTTTTATATCCAAAACAAATTCAGTACTTGTTTTTTTTAATACTAATTCCTATATTTAATAAGTGAACAATCTATATTAGTGGTAGTCAAATTTCTAAAGCAAAGTAAAAAATTAAATATTTTTTTTAAGATTATTTTTGTGAGATTTAAATTTGGTTTAAATTTGAAATTTTTATAAAGTTAAATAAAAAAGAATATATATTGTAAAATCCTATTTTTTTTATTTTAAATTAAAAAATCCCTTTTGTATAAAAGTTGAAATTCTAAAAGCGGTTTTTTAATAAATATTACAGTATTAGCTTTAAGGATTTACAAATAATTTTAATTGAAATACTAATAAATAATTAGTATTAGTTTGGTTTGTCTATATGATGTAAAACATAATAGTTTTCAGTAGATTTAATTTAATTAATACAGTAGTACAGTGAACACATTCTAATTGAAAAACTAGAAAATATATTGTATCAGTTTGATTAGTGAATCTTCATCAGGTGTTGAACATAGGTTACATTTTATATAATCTTTTTGGATTGGTGGAATATTTATTTAGCTTTCGGTATATAATTTCGTTTGGTAAAAAGGTTGTCAGCGGCGGCGAAGGAAGGAAAGCCTTGTCTCCTCCGGAGCACTAAAAGAGATTACAGTGTTTGCGAGGGTGCCAGCAACGAGGTAAAGGAGAGAAAAAGAAAATGAAAAAGGAGAAGGAGAAAAAAAAATGATCATCGGCGTCACAGCCGCCCCCGGACAAACGTAATTTCCTGTCGACTCTGGCAAACAGTTTATTTAATTACCACCTCGGTCGCAAACAAGTTGTCAGATTAAAATGCACACGGGGACTTTAATCTCGACGCGGGGATTCCCCGTGGGGAAACGAACGCACGAACGAAACTGTTCTCTAATAAAAAGAAAACAAGTCGGCAATACACACACACACCCAAAAAGGAGTAAATGAAACTGGGAGCGAACAACAAACATTAAACTGGATTCGAGTAATTAATGAAACTGGCCAAAAATTGACACTATTTGTTGGTTACAGCATTGAATACAGCAATACTTCGCATAGTACGGCTTCGATCAGTGCAGATTCAATATATTAAAGTTTAAAAATTTCAGAACAAACTAAATTTTAATTAAGCAAAATAAAACTAAATTCTGAAAATATAATACATAAAATATTGTGTCTCCATTTGTGCTGTTTATATATATTATACAATTTTAAAGTCCTCAATCAGTGCGATTTAAAGAAGATCGTGATATTAAGGAAACCCCGCACAATGCGAGGCATTGTTTTTGTAAGAAGTAAATGAAACTGGGGAGTAAACAAAAAAAAAATCTAGATTCGAGTAATGAATGAAACTGCATGGTGCTTGCTTATTCGATCAGTATGGATTCAATATATTATGGTTTGAAAATTTCAGAACAAACTAAATTCTAAAAATATAATACTTAATTTTATGTCTCCTTTTGTGCTATTTATATATGTTAAGCAGTTTAAAGTACTCATTTGATTACATAAATTGATATTTAATTCTTCAAAATTATATTATATTATAATTATAAGTAAAATATTTGATGTCATTTATTTTACAAGTCATTTCAAGAACAATAATATTAAAATTTATTTGTATATTATTTTAATATTTATCTTTTTTTAAAATAAATATATAGACAATGTTAAATCGATAGTTTTTAATTTAATTTTTAATAAATTATTTCATAAAGTTTACATTATTTTTTAATTAATTTAATAAAAGTTTATTAATTAATAATTAAACTGTTATTTCGAGTAATGAATGAAACTAAAAGAAAATCGACTTTATTTGTAGGTTTCAGCACTGGATTTGCAAGTTATAAATTAATGAATACATCAATTTTGTATGCAATTTTACTGCTCGGAAATTTGCTTCCATAATTTATTTCACTTCTTATAGTTTCATCAATTTCCAATACAATAGTATGTAGTTCATTCAATTACTTCAATTTAAATTAGGTGATTTTGTAATATTATATAATAAAGATTTTTTAGTAAAAAATTCACATCTTCATAAAGGAACAAGTCAAAAGTATTTATAAATAATATTTATTTAAGAATTCGCATTTTAAAATTTTTAAACACGTAATAAAAAAGTAACAAAAGTTAACTTTGTATTAGGTTCTGCTCATTTTTATATATGTTTTAATAATACAGTAAAGAGAAAACAAAGTATTTAATTAAACTACATGCACGAAAATAATTAGTATTCAAAAGCACGTAGCTTATATTATTTTTAGAATAAAGTTGCGCTTTGCTCTCTATGCACACTATATATATTCTTAATTAAGAATCTTTTGTGTGCGTGAGTTGGATACATTTTAAATAATTTTCCTTCCATTTTAAAACTGATTAGATTCTTTAAAGAATGCTCCAACTAATAATTAAACTTTCTTATGTTTATCTACAAACTTCCTTTTTCTCATACTTTATTTTATAATTCGAAGTATACTTGCATAATCGAAGTATAGTTAAGAATTTTGTATACAAACATAAAACATGAAACGTAATTCTTAATTCACAATTAAGATAAGTAATTTTAATAAGTTGTGAGTTTTATTTGGTGGATCCGCCGGGTCTCAACAATATCTCTCTTTCATTTATTTTATTATATAATTAAATGAATTGCTTTGACTGTATAAAAATAATTTATTTCTATTGTGTTTCATTGAAATTTAGTTAATTTTAAACCTGTGCTGAATCCGGACAAATCGAAGATGCACTATATATTGTAGTTCTAAATGTAACACTAAATCTACCGATACTTCATGTATACCTATTCCTACCGTAAGTGGTCAAATGACCACTTCAAAAAAAAAATACAATTATCTTAAAATATATTTTTATCATAATTTTCTCTACAAAAATATGGACAAAATATTGAAAAGGCTTTTAACGCACAAATATAAAAAAAGTATTAATAATAAGTAATACATTTTGTAAAAAAATACAAAAAGTAATATTCTACATTTACAAATTAAAAATATTTATTATTTTGATACTTACAGTGAATAAATTGGTGGATGCGCCAGGTATATATTTCAAGTGAATTATATAACCAATTTTCGCTAAGTGTGAATGTATAAATATATCAGATGTGTTAAAAACAATAGACTTGTATACTTATTTCCGAAGTTGACATTTTAAACGTCGATAGAAAATGTTTGTGTGTTAGTTTAATACCCTCTTGAAGATGAAAGTGCATTTAGACTTTGGTACTGTAATATGATGTAATTTGCTAAGTTTAGAGCAGGTAATTACAGCTTTAAAGGTCTTCTACTAATAATGTTGAAATCAAGACATTGTTCGATAATAACCCGAACTTCACTAAAAGTAAATTATGCGAGATTTTAAAAATATCAAAATGAACTACCCACAAGCTTTTTTGGTGCTCGAATACGTTGAATGAGTTCCACACAATTTAACGGACAAAAATCTCGACAATACCAGCCCTTATGTTTCTTTTACTACCCTACAAAAATTGCTGAAATTATACTTAGTTTTATATTCACCGGACGTGCAACTTCCGATTTACACTTATTCTATTAATAAAAAGAACTTTTAATTTTTGGTCTACATAAAAAACAACCTTGAAATATTCTTTGACGAAATACCTTATAAATTCTGGGATAAGAATAATAATTTATATTGAGATTTTACTATTTATTATGGTAATAGTATTTAATTGTATTATTAGTTTAAAAGAGTTGTAAATTGTTCGTAAATTCCGAATTATGTAAATGAAGTTTTAAACAGTCTGGATTGTGTTGCGCGTTGACTTGTCTTCTTATGCGATGGGCTTTGATTTAGCCTATGTTTATTTGTTTGTTAGATCGATATCGGCGTGAAAACATGTCAACATCCAGCGTCGCGACGGACTTATGATGATCCTGCGGGAGGCTGGACGTCGGTGCGCGTGTGTCAAAAGCCCTGACACTCTTTCGTCCTTCGCGGAGGATTTCGGCTGCTGCTGGTGGTGGACAGGACGGGCCAGGACGGATTCGTGCGCAGTCCCACACAGACGACGGCGCCGTTCAGACGTCGGGACGCTCTATAATACGTAAGAACGCATCTTACGATACTCAGCATCTCTTTGCAAAAAGCACGCGATCCAACAAATCCTGTTTATTGTGTTCGAAGTATATTTAGTTATTTATGAGAAGAAAGTAAGTCATGAAATTATTTATTTAATCATTGATATATTATAAATTTAAAAATATCTTTAACGGTCTTTGATTATCTCGTTCATTATTATTTTAATTAACTGTATCTACGCTAGACAATTAAGTTTTTTTATTATTCTATTAATTAATTTATATAAATTAATTTGGTTTATAAATAAAATGTCAATTACTCGTTAATATATTAACTGATTTATTATATAAACATATTAGTTCTAAAGTCCAGAAATACCTCGTATAGTACGGGTAAGCGATTCCACTACGGATGAGCAATACCGTACTGTTTAAAACAATCTTCATTTATAATACATTTTTTTGGAATGTATTTTTATTTATCTATGAAAATTTTGGATGTTCTTCAATTTTCAAACTGTACTACAGTGAATCCGCAATGATCAAAACTGCACTATTAGAGGTATTACTGTATATTTTTAAATAATTTTAATTCTTCTCAGTTCTTCTTATTAAATCGCATACAATTGAACTTTTAATAAATTGGACTTAATTCTTTCATTATATATATTATATTATAAAAAACATAAAATCACGCATAATCAATCTGTGATTTTTATTTTAATAATTTTGCTTCTTTATATAAAATTTATCTTTTTTACTGTTATTTTTTATTAATTGGATGATTTGATATTAATAAAAGAACGAGAAAATTATATATTGAATGTACAACGCGAAAATTATATTAATTATGTAATTTTGAAAAAAAAAATGTAAAAAAAGTAAGTAAAGTAGAACAGTAAAATTACATGAATTGAACTTTGATTTTATTTTATATATACTTTAATATTTTTGCCCTTTATATAACAAAACAGAAAATATAATTATTGTGTAATAATGTAAATTTTATAATTGAATTTTATAATATGTGTTCATTATTTTACATTATTTAAATAAAACATAACATATTAACATAACATAAAAATACATTTTTGTATATTTCAAAGAACAATAAACGCAATAATTATTAAATACATTAATATTTCGTTACATTACAATATATATGACTCAATTCAATTAAATCTCGCTTTATATAGGTTAATGCTTTTGCTTTATATATAAATTGCTTTAATAAATATCCATTAAATATCATTTACTTTTTGATAATTTGGTAGATTATAAAGTAAGCGGAAAAACTATGGTTTTGTAATAAAAATTGAAAATAAATAACTAGGTATGTTATAAAATATATGAACTGTTTATTTTGAAAGTGTCTAAAATCCATTTATGTTTAAATTGAGATATTTAAGAGTTTGAGTTTGAATAAAATTAAAAATACGTATAGAATAGTGATTCTCAAAAAGTGAATAAAACGTTTGGGAAACGCTGGTATAGAATACCAATGTGTGCAGTGTGACTAAGAGAGTTAAATTTACAATTTCTATAAAAATAAAAATAATTATTAAAAGAATAATATGTGTTTTCTAACTACAAATGGAGTTAGCCAATTAGATTTATTATAAAATTTTATAATATAAAAGTTGAGCTCTTTAGTTTAATCTTGAGTCCATAGTTTAAATGCTTTAAATTTCAAAAAAATAAACTCAATTTATTATATATTTCTTTACAATACTTAATAATTCTGGTTCCACTGTACTTTGAATATATACCTCGCATAGTAAGATATTAATTAGAGTGTATTGACATACGTTTGATGAAAGTTTCACAAACACAATTTTAATTGAACAAAATAAAAATAAATTCTAATGAAAATTATCGTTTTCTTTCTCTCTCTCTATAGTCAAGTCTATATCTTTGTGGATTATTTTATACGATCTTAAAGTCCTAGATTAATCCCGATTTAAAAAATACGAACATATTTATATTTCTAAATGCTAGGATCTCTAATAACTGTTTTTGTTATTTACAATTTTACGTTACATAAAAATATTTTTTTATTAAATTTAATACCATTTGTAATATTTTTCATGGATCTTGAAATATATTGTTTTGAAGAAATAATTCTTGTATATTTATCGCATGTACCCTTTGCCAACTCGGCTACATAGAAAGCAATTTGCTATAATCTGTAACAAATCACTATAACCTGTCACAGGCTATTATTGCGTAATTGAATATGAAAGTAAAACATTATAAATTATGCTCAATAAAATGTGTTCATACATAAAACTCGAACATAATCTGCTCACGGTTTTAGGGAATATATTTTTCAATGCAATTTCTTAGTTTGTCGCATCAATATAAATAATCTAATAGATTTCTTCATATCGCTTCCTTCATGGTAAAGTTTTAGCAGAGTTTTTATTATTTTTTTTCCTTTGACAATGGTAAAAATTAGTTTCAGAAACAACTATTACAAAAAGAAAATCCTTTACTTCACTGATACTAGGTGCATACTAGGTTTGACAGTTACACCCCAAATACAGTCGATTCTGCTTAATCGGGACACATCGTGACTATAGCCTTTTGGCCCTATCCGAAGTTATATTTCCATTTATTATTTGCTCGGTTTTGTTTCCGTTCTTTAGGATTTATCACTAATAAGCGGCTGTCCCGATTTAGCAGAATCGACTGTATTTGTATACTCCAAGGTTGTTGTAATATCATTTTTAATTCACTTTTATTCAAAATCACTCGGAGAATCATCCACGTATAAATAATTGGATCAGTAGATATTTTAAAACGAAATATTGTAATGATTAAAATGCATGTTAAGCATTCAATAATTAAATTACGTACATCAAGATAACTAATTATAATTATGTACATTAAATTTCATTTACATTACAAAATATTCTTATTATTATTAATTTATGGTAAACTCGTAATTTATTCCGTTTCATGCTTCGAATTAATGAAGTTCGCGGTAAACCTTAGGAAAAGCAATTTCTCTATGGGTTACATTAAACATTCATTGTAATCAGTATTTTCTTACGGTTACTTTGTATAGTCATGACAACTTGTATAGAAACAAATGAAAACATTGAATCGAATTTTATATGTAGTCGGATTCGATCTGCAACTGAGCTGCGAAGTGGCATTTACTCTTTGCAAATCCACGTCAATAAAGTGGAAACCTTCCAATACTCAGATTTAAATGCATTTTGAGTGGATCTATTTTGTAAGTATTATATGGAAGTTTTGTTGTATCATTAATAACTGAAATATTAATCTTAAAAATTAATTTTGTTCGAATTTTAACAAAAAAAATGGCTTGGACACCCTGATTAGCATGAATTAAAAAAGATTAACTCTACACAACTAATCAATATTTGCAAAAACCATCTCAAACGCAATTGAATCGTCACATTTTTAAACAAAAAATGAACCATCAACAATAGTATCAATCGAAAACGATCATTATCTAAGAGTGACTAAACAAGAAATAGCACAACTCACATCGAAAGTTGAATTATATCAAAAAAAACATGCTATTAATTTGTTGGGATTATAAAGGTATTGTGTATTTTGAGCTACATTCAAAGAACCGAACGATTAATTATTATATATACTATCAACATTTAATAAAACTGGAGGAAGAAATCACAGAAAAAAGGCTGAAATTGGAGATAAGTTGGCCCTGACCTTGTACCATCAGATTACCATTTATTTGGAAGTATAATAACCTGAAATCGCACTTACTTCAGTTTTTTGCTGAAAATAACCAGAATTCTATGAGCGCGTTATCATGAAGTTGCCAGAAAAAAGTTGGAAAATATTTAATTGATTAAATTTTATTTTTCATTCTTGCCGACCCAATATATATCAGATTGATATCATTTCGAAGTTTAGATTTATTTTATTTATTTCATTTCTTATGTAATCAAATGAGAAATGAGTATTACATAGAATGTGAATAAAGAACTGCAAATTACATTATATATGAAAAAATATAAGTTGGACAAAGATATAATATTTGGTAATAAATTATATAATTAAAACTGTTAATTCTGAGTGAACTACACATTATATTGTAGATACAGAATTTTTTATAGTTTAATCATAAAAAAAATATGTCGATAATATTTATATTTTTGCAAAAGTAAAGTAAGTTTCAATAAATTATCTAGATTATTTACGTATAATTTTCCAAATAGTTAAGTTATCTCTAAATCTTACAATATAATAGAAGATTCTATAGACTAGACTTTAATCAAATGCGGTACAAGTATCAGGTTTATTGAATTTAGTAAGCAAGGATCACAAAGGATTAGAATATATGGGTCGTACCACAAAATGTTGCATAGAAAAGGTGATAAAGATAAATCTCGTGGGATGCATTGAAGTATGTGAAAACGTGAGATAGCTCAATGTATTTATTAGCACCAAGTGAACTGTTAAAGTATAGCGTTTATATAACAATAAATAATACATATAAAAATATTTTTTAACTTTGTTTTTATATATATATACATTTTTTTCAATCACAATTATTAGTGACAATTTATGAATTTTCTTTTGTAAATTGCATTAAAAATGATCAAAAACGAATAATAATACTAGATTAAGTTATAGTTGTATATCTCTTGTATCTATCGTACAAATATCCTTCGAACGTACAATCATGCAATCATACGTACTTTATTATTTACTCTATGACCGAACTAACGTACAAATATTTTTATGTTCTTATTATCTATTTTTATAACAAAACATATATATATTAATTATATAATACATTAGATAATCCTATGAATTACAGAGATTGAACAAAAAAAATCTAGTTTTTATTTATATGAATAATAAATATTTGGAATGCAAAACGTTCAGTATTTATCTCGAAATATATGTCTTTTTTTTTAATCCAGTTATGAATGGCGCAATGGTTTAATTAAATACGATAAAAATTTTCAAACGTATGAAATATTGAAAATAATGTTGTAACAGTAATGAAAAACACTGTTCTATCATCGATTCGAATTGAATGGACGCTGTGGGTTATAAATGAATTTATTCGTTTTGAATGGTGGACACAGCGCACACAAATCACTGTCCAAACAAATACAAAAAAAAATAAAACAATATAAAATTTGAAAAAAAAAACGCTTCCGAATGGTTTTTGTCTACAAAAATAGATAATCAAATTATGGTTTATATAAAAAATATTTTGAAATATTATTTGTATAAAAAAATACCGGATTTTCAAAACAATAACAAAATTTATAAAATAACTAAACTTTATAAACTCTTTCAGATTCTTTAATATTTATAAAACAGTAAAAAATTAACAATTTTCTTAAGATCATATTTTTCAAGGCTACTGTCAATTGATTTGTATATATATTTTTTATTTATACAATACATTTTTAGTATTCACTGTAATAACCTTATTATTATTATTATTTTAGATACAAAAAACTTGTCTTTTTTCGTTATAAGGTCTGAAATAATAAACTTTTTGTGTCTTTATTTGTTATAATATGCCTGTGCTTTTCAATGACATAAATAATTAACTTTTACATAAAAAAATATGACGGGTTTTTAATTGTAAACATTTTCTTTTTTCAAAACGTATTTTAAACTTTGAAAAGAATTAAATGAAAGAAAACGTGTTTACGTGCGCATTTAATACTTTTGTTATTGTTGTTTCAGTGATTTCAGGATGATGGTTTCAGTGTGGTATTTGGTAGTGTTGCTCGGCGTCGGCTTTGCGGGTTGCTGCGAGCTCGAGGACGTTTTCAACGAGAGACAGGTGAGCGTCGAGGAGAGCGCGCGAAGTGCCGATGTCATTTTCAGGGGACTGAGCGCTGCGACGCCCTCGAACGACGCCGGTGCGAATGAGATTAGCGGCGGCGTCTTCACCGCTTACTTTGAACTTACCAACACTTACAAAGGGGCTGATTCACTCGATATCCTCAACAACTTCAGGTAAATCAAACAACGAAAAAAATATTACTAAGAATATTCTCTAACATCATCATTTTCATCACAAAATATTATTTTTAAGTTCATATGTGGTCAATAGCATTTTGTATTTCGATAATACGTACATAATTATTAAAACTATGATGGAACTAACGTACTAATATCCGTACAAACGTACAATAATGTTAGTACGATGTAAGGTACATACTATATGTTTTGACCAAAATCGATAATTTCATTACGTAATATTTCTTAATATAAAAAAAATAAATATTTCCATTATTTTTTTACATTGAATTCCAATATATTAGCATGCAGAACATGGGTTATTATTAAAAGTGCTCTTTTATAATTAAATAAGCAAATAAATATATTATTTCAATTTATGTTCGATAATACGTACATGATGTCTGACCGAACTAACGTTCAAATATTCGTTTAAAAGTACAATTATGTTCGTAGGGCCATTTGATGGAAATTTTCAATAATACGTACTTTAATATTTACTTTCTATCCGACCTGACGTACAAATATCGGTACGAACGTGTAGCAGTGGGATTGTTCCTAAGTTTTATTTTTTATTAAATTAAACAAAATAAAATACTCAAAGTGTAATATTATAGAATTATATAGAAATCGCATGAAAAAAAAAACGAAATTAGAAGGATCTTTTTGTTCAACAGAAATTTATTAATGAAGCGACTACATTTGGAATGTTATAACCAAACTATTGTTAGCTCTATTCATATGTAATGAACAATGAATTGAAGTATCTAACTTGTTCTATATCTCCCATCATTGCGAAATTCGGATTCCATTCATGAAGTTAAATCAAATTTAACATAGTTTTGTCAGGATGCACATATTAGTTTTACTTTTATAATTAAATTGTTGCTGTATTAGTTTTCAACATTATCCTGCATAATTGAATTATATCAAATTTTTAAGATTCTATTAACAAAATAAGAATGCAATAAATTTTATACAATAAATTGTATTTAGTTCCCTAATTTTTTCCTCAAATCTTACCAACATTTACTCCTTCCATGTGGTCCACGTCCCACACTTAAAAAGTTACAGCACTACTCTCCTTCAAATGTTTGTGACCTAAAATTCAATGTTGTTGAGCCTAAACAATGCTAAGGGCCCGAATAATAATTTGCGAGTTGGACAAAAAATTTATATTCCATCATTGCTATTCATATAAAATAATACTTTTGTTGTATAAAAACTCTTGCAAATTCCCTTTATTATCTATTCAAAAATTATTTTATTTAACTTTCGGATGTTCTGAATTATAAAGTACACAACGAACCCCATTCAATTTTACATTTTACAAAAATTTGACTCAATATATGCACATACTATTTGTATAAAGAAAAGGGAACAATAATTAAACTCGTTTGTCATCCGACTGGAAGGACTTTCAAAAAGTAAATGTATTCTGCGTATTTTCATGTAATTGAAAGGCCGAGCATGATAAACGCAGAGCATGGTTTCGCTTCCGTGTAATACCACTGTAAGCTGCAGAAATTATAATTTCAAATTGGAACTCAACCAAAGCTCATAATAAATGGACGTTACTGCTAGCGGTCGCTCCAAAAACATTCCGCGATAAATAATTTCAGAAAATATTTACACTTGAGGAAAATTTTATTTTAATTATTACTGTATGCAAATATGCATTAATTCATTATCTGAATAATATAATTTAAATATTCGCTATGTTAATATATAAAATGCAGTACGCAAGTGAATGTACGTTAACCGAACAGATAATTTCGTTATAATTTTTGCTACATAAGTTTATCTTTGTTTCAAGGAAGTACGTTCAACGGAACGTACACTAAACCACGCTATGTAATGGAATATTAATTATATAATAATATAACTTATATTTAAATAAACTTATTAATACAATTAGTATTATCGGCTAATTTACATAATACGTACATAAATTGTTGTTAGTGAACGTACGTTAACCGAATTTCCTTTTATGATTTTTATTGAACACATATCTCATTGTTTGCATGAACATACTCAACGATCATTTAGACGTACACTTTTCGATCTATATACTGAAATTTTCATCATCACACAATTGGATGTGATACATCATATTTGTACGTAAGTTCGAACAAAGGGACTCCAAATAATGTACATATTATCGAACTCAATTTAAGTTAGCACTGATTGTATTACATATTTTATTGTACAGTTTATTAAACACTTACGTAATAGTTTTTAAATCAATGTATAAAACGTGTTGGAGAAATGCTTGTATTCTCGAAGGTAGTCGGTTATATTGAACTTATATAGTAACAAAACATATATATTTCCATCTTGCAGACAAGTGAATGTAACGATTTCTGGGAGGCCGCTCTCCGATTGCGGAACTCGTGATGACATCCCGAGGGAATACATAGTGTTCTGCAAGATGTCCAGAACAGCTGGTCGACATCTGAGTGCTTTGGCCGTCGCCAAGTGGGACGACGACACCGATCAGAGGGTCTGGTCTGCGTTAGGTAAGCACCTTTTTTTTTTATTTATTTGCATCCTTCATCTGCATTATAATTACGTCTCCTGTAAGGACGAGTGATGTAATTGAGGAGAGTCCTGCTATATTCAAATCGAATTATATTGTGCAGACGCACGTGGAATGTCTATTGCGGATTCCTGTAGACACGTGGAAACCTTCATTAACGTACCTTCCTTATAGCAAACCATAATATGTCAGTCAAATATGCCATTATTTACAAACAATTTTCAATATAGGAATAATAAATAATTTATATTATAAAAACATCAAATTATACAAGAATATATACTTTACATGTTGCGGGTATACCTTGCATAGGTATATAAAAAAATGTATTATCCTAAGGATAGAAAAGGACAAGTACATACGATTATACATAAAATTCACTACAAGTGTTAACAATCAGACAATCTTCTTGTTCTTGAACATCCATATTCTAAGACAGAAATGCTTATTCCTTAAAAAAATATTGGTCTTATATAATAATGATTTGACGAAACATGACAAAACATAAAAAATACTTTTAGATAACTTCTACTTGTCACTTGAATGTATCCGAATTGATTAATAATAATCATAAAAAAGAATGAAATACATGAATAATATAAGTTATTCAACATCTGCAGAGGTTACTTTTGCTGTTAGAAATGTTAGAAATCAAAGATTAATGATGCCTTATATTAATTACTTTAATCATTAAACTTATAATCATTTAAAAATTGACATCTTCAAAAATTTATTTCTTATATAATCATCAATATCTCATATTATAATATAGAAGTATTGGTTCAACATTTGCAATAGATTGGTAGTAACAATTGATTTATAATGTCGCAGATACGGCGTTTATGTAACCATTTGGGGAATGTCCTAACGTGTATGACTGACAGAAACATGTGATTTATGCTGACGTAGATAAGGCATTTACATAACAATACTAGGCTTGGTTTAACGTTTGCAATTGTTTGACAACAACAGCTGTTTCATCGTGACGTAGATGACACACGTTTTCCTCCACATATGAGAAGAATTTTCAATAATCTTTTAAAGTTTCTTACTTTTTTATCGATTATGCAAATATTTAAAACACACTTTTTTACACATATATAAAGGTTCGGAACAGCTGTGTTTTTGGCGTATTTAAGGCATTAACATAACCATATAAGCATTTTATTTAAATAATTTCTTAAACTTTATTCAAATTGATCAATTTTTAATATTAAAAACAGTAAAAATAATTGAAACTGTAAGAGTAAATATACCTTTTTTCATTTCAAATATTTCAGATTTTCCATGTAAAATTAAGATTTGTCATTATTTATTATTAACTTATTTTAACACATACAATATTTCTTGTATGTTCTATTTGTAATATTGATAAAATTATCGAAATTAAACTCATATTTGATTAAATCTTTAAATTTAATGCTCGTTTTTATTAATTTTTAATACACTTTAAATGCACCTAATAGCAGAATAATCTTACTCGCATATTAATTAATATTGCAAAGGCTATGTTAAACCAATGCATATACAATTTTCGTTTCAATTAATTAGTAATATTACGTTTTGTAATTGTAAAGGGAAGCTTACATCATGGTTGAATTCAATTAATTAGGAATTACAAACTAATGTACTAACGTGATATATCAAATAGAATTTATTAGCAGTCTTTGATCAAATATTCTCTTGAAATTAAGCATTTTTATGAAAGAATATTTAAATATTATTAGTTTAATACTTTATTTTTAATCTTATTCATATATTATATAAAAAGTTGATATAATGAAACTATCAAATATTATGTAAAAAAGTATATAATAATAATAAAAAATCTTTATTAGTCACCAATTGTAACCAAAGGACATAAAAAAGTATATTAAACTGAAAACAATTACAAAGCTTATCTTGTTTCTAAATTATTGAAGAAGTAATCATTTGTTCTGCCAAGTTTTTTACTTTATTATTTAATATTTACTACATTTTTGAAGATTAAGCAATAAATAATAAAATCATTGATAATCTTGATATTACTAGATGTAAATATAAATTTTATTGGTATGTTAGTATCGGGTTTCGAACATAATTTATTTCTATTGGTAAAGTTTAAAATAAATAATTCCTAGAAAACCGAAATAATAATTAAAGTAAAAATTTTCAAATGTTATAAAAAAACTTTTTATATAAATTATAGATTATTAATTTTTAAAATATTTAATATCTTAATTTTTGAAATAAACTAAAATATTATAGAAAATTAATGTATTAAATACAGTAAGTCCTCTACATACGTGATAAATTGGTTCCGAATGTTTTAGCTTAACTCGAAAAATCACGTTAGTCGAGGAAAACACAAAATTTAGGAAAATTTCGCTGTAGTATATTAGAAGTGGTTTGATTTTGCAATCTCTAGTGTTAGCCTAAATGTTTTTATGTTGAGATGTTTTTCAAGATAGGCCACCGCACTACCACGCCTTGTGAAAACTCAACTAAATCGTTTAAGTTGAAAAATCACGTAAGTCGAAATGGCGTAAGTCGAGGACTTACTGTATAAGAAAGTTGTTTGCTTAGGCAGTGAACAGATCACTTTTTGCTATTTGATAACCGAAACTCGGATATCTAAAGTTTAGTTTTATTGTTCGGCAACCGAATTATTCGAGAATTGCAGCTGAATTGTAAAATACAAAATAAACAAAACAATAATTATGACGTTCCATAATGTCAGACGTTTTCCAATTTATATAACAAAAAATATATAAAAAAAGCTGAATTCCAGAGATGAGATGGTTTCGTTATTTTTTTAATCAATTGTTAAAGAAGCATTCCCTGCGGATCCTCTGTAGACGCGCATAGAATTTCTCATATACCCAGCGATTTGGTTCTCGTGGAATCGAGAGTAAAATACAGATGGTGTAGTAATGAAAACCCTAATTAAAGTAGCATTAAGGGAGCGTTCATCAGTAGGAAGGCTTATTGTTATTCACAGCATTTGGGATGCAATAATGCAATTCGGAAGGTAAAACACAAAAAAAATATGGATTGTTTCAGGATGGAGCAGTTGGTCTGATTGGTCGGGATGCAGCGTCACGTGCTCCGCTGGAATCCAGCAGAGGAGGAGAACCTGCCTTCGTCCTCCGTGTCCTGGCTTCAACGTTGAACAAAGGCACTGCAATCTATTCGGGTACGTACCCTAAAATTAAATTGATCCACTTCCGAGCAATATCAGACAAACGAAGTTACTTAACAATCATTGATATATCTGCCGGAAGTTTTCCGCATGTTGTAGTATTTGGGGATACGCAAACAAAAAAATAAATAAAAAAATATATATACATAAAAGAAGAGAAGAAACTTTTCGTTGCCGTCTGCATAAATAAGGTGGAAAGTTTTTCTTGAAAAACCGTGAGAATGTGCGGATAATGAAAACGCCGCCGACTGAACCGTAAACTGATATTTATGTAGCCCCGAAAATCTGATATTTTCCAATAAACCCGAAACAATTTCGCGCGTTAAGTAAACAGGGCCACCGCCCGATCCGCACATAAATATCATTCAGAGTCGGACAAAGTGGCTAAAAAATGGGACACTGGAAAAAGGATATAAATAAAATTTTCGCGGAGCTGGAATCTAATTTTTATGAAACTATTTCCTGGAAAGTTTGATCCAATTTATGGAGTCTCTGGGTACATTGAATCGAGCAATTTGCTAGTACGAAGTTCCAGTTGTTTTTGGGGCCTCGATGGTTTAACCGAGTTAACCCCTCCAAGATTGTGCTCCGTGATTAAAATAAATTTGATTTGCCTTCGCCGAACTGGAACGACGGGAGAAACAGGATTCTCCGTCTCGGATGTAACGAGAAATTGCTGTTTCAATTCCTAACTAAACATGATTTAACAACTAGTTTTAATGAGTAATCAGTTGATATTAGCAGATACACATATTTTGTATAGTAATTATCCGTGAATTCTAAGTTAATATTTATTTTGGTAATGCTCATTCACACTATGCGTGATATTAAACATATATGGTAGATCGTAGCAACTTTTCAATTGTTTCGAACTGTATTGTGTGATGTAGTAGTTGATACTTCCTATAGAAATGTTTGTTTTATCAATATTAATATTTACTATATCAATTAGCATTAAAATCTATTACACACACACTGGATGAGGTTTCATGGCTTTATCCATTAGTCATGCCTAGGCCCACGAAACTTTTTGGGACTCACAAAAAATTGAATTATAATTAAAATATATATATTTGGTTGATAAGTTGGTATGATATTAACAATTGATCTCTTCCACGTCATCAACTAAACTGGTGCAAAAGGGCCCACGGCAACCTTAATGCGGTCTTAAGTATTTTTACACTTCCGTTCCTAAACTTCGGACGTAATGCATTTATACAAAGAAAATAAATATATAATAGACCCTTATATTTCTCATTTTTTTTACTATTATGAGAAGCTACTGTAGTTGGCACTCATTTGTATCATGGAGATAGATGACTCTAAATGATAGTTGGTATTTTTGATAAACTTTCTAATATTTAAATAATAATATCATTCATTCCTATACCAATAATTTCATATTAGCATATATAACTGAACGTATAGCTAGCATTTGTTTATAGTCTTATATAATGTATAGTTTGGAAGCAACTTAACAATATTAAAAATTATTGGCTGTACACTAGTTTACATTGTGTACAGTCACATATATAGGAACAATATTTGTGATATTATTGCAGTTTAATGACTTTATTTATTAAAACATTTGAGAATGTTATTTTCCAAGTTTTATTCTGTATAATTTATATTAGTAAATATAATAGTAACGTGACTGTTTTTTTATTCATTGATAATTATATTGTCTGGACTTTCTAATTTATAGATTGTTTTATGTACAGTAATAAAAGAGTTGTTAGTCCAGATGAATATGGAAGTTCCCACAACAGCTATTATAAGTTTTTTCATTATTATTATTAACTTTCAAGATGAATGAATTTTGTTTATTATATGTACGTAGACATACATGTGTGCGAAAAGTACATTTAACTATCTTTTATATTTATGAGATGTAGCACTTATTGTGATACTTACGAAGTAATTGTAATGAATCATAGCACTGTTTGAATGGAAATACTAAATACTTACAAATTGAAGCACACAAAGTCCTTGAATATATAAAAAGAAAAAAATCTTTAATTTTGTGTACGATTTTTTTTTAATTATTTTAATTTTGCTTAATTAAAAATAACAACAATTTATTTAAAATTTTGAATTTTTTATTTACATAAGCAATATTATATTTTCTTAGACATAAAAAGAAGAACAAAGGATGACTTGATAGTGGTTATGAATAATCATTAAATAAAATAGTATTCATGTTTCATTTTTTAATTATCCGCTGGAAAAGGCTTTCATGTAGCAGCCAAATGTTGCGCACAGCCTTCATTACCATCTACAGCTTTTGGGATTTGCCTCATTATTTTTAGATAGGGATCGTTTTCATCCTCTTTCATCGTTCTCCTTTTACCATAACTCTAGTTTATGCAAGCAGTTTCATATAATGCATAGCGATATATTAACAGCCAACTCGTTTCATATACCCATGTATATGTTAAGAGTTGTAAATCGTAATTGCTCTATTACATAGAAGTTTTTTTTATTATATATTTAATGGTGAAATAAATTATATCTATTAAAATTTATTACATTAATTGTATATTTCTTTACGTCTATCAAACATTAGTTCTTAATTTATAAATAGTACGGACTATTTGAAACCGAACTATTCAAGGAGTTTAAAACTGCATAAAAATAAACTACCAGAAGTGTATTTTTATTTTGTCAATTAATATTGTCATTTTGAAAATTTCACATCGGACAATAGTGATTCCGGACTAATCGAAACCGACAAATGTGTACTAATATAACTTTCACATTATTTGTTTTTAATGAACTAAGTTAAAAGTATGTTTCATAATAACCAATATTATTCAAATTTGTCAAAAATATCATTATTACAACTGTAATTTTCCTGTGCGGAATGTCTTTGAAGCCCATTGACAATTTGTATATACAAATCAGATTCCATATGTAATGAATCCTTTCAATAACTGGATTATATTATTTTACATATGCTATCAGTGGAGTAACAAGAAGTGGATTGGTCCATGTACAAGCAAAGGAAATGTTTAAAACAAGACAAATTTGTATTTGGAGGGAATAGGAAAATTTAAAAAAACGCTTGTCTCATGTCACATAGATGCAGCAGTAGAACAAAAGAAAGCATTTTAACACACAATACAGCCAGATTTTATCTAAATTGAAATATAAACCATGCTGCCAACATCTGCTTGGTTTGTTGCCAACTTTTACATTAACAAAACTTAAATATTATCGTTTATTGTATTCAACTATAAGATATAAAAATTATGAGTTTGAAATTCAGACCAAATAACAAAAAATCCAATCCTTTATAACATATACTATTGGCTTGTCCCGAAAGTTTGTGCCGATTTTCGCTAAGTACCATTGGCGTTACGTAACTTTTAAGAAAAGTAAAATAAAGAAGAACACAATAAACTAGATTTATTTGTTTTAAAACTAAAATTAGCAACAAAGGTATGGTACATAAAAAAATAAGAATAATCTTGTTATTCACAGAGATCATATTTTTGGGTAGATTATTGTAATTTTATATTGGAAATTTAACAAAGTATATGCACCTGAGACGAGGATGCGATTAACGAAAATCCGGTAATTCAATGGAACGACTTTAAACGAGTTTCGAGCGTTTCAATTGAATGGAGCAATTTGTCGTTTGGGAACTTTCGGTTGTTTCTGGTGCAGAGGATGTAGATTTAAGTGAGTTACGCTTAAGATCGCTGGATGCGATTAAAATAAATTTGATTTGCTTTAGTAAACTGGAACATGCAAAGTGGGGGTAGATTGAGCAGACACGGTTGTTGGAATTGCGAAAAGCCTCTTCCACACACACCCCTAAAAAGCACTGCTGTGTGTATATGAATATATGTATACGTATGTTTAATGTGTGTGCGTGCGTTCGGGTATCGTTCGATTCTGGGTGGATCGATGTCGTTGGGATTACCGACAATACCCACCTGGATTATCAAAGTTTTACCAAATTAACTGTTATGGGTTTCATATGAATATAACTGTAATCCGGTAGTAATCGACGTCGACATTCGGACAGGTAATAATAATTTGTTTCATGTGCATTCGTATTTTGCAGATGCTATAATGTCGTAAATCCGTTGGCAATCGAATCGCAGTATTTCCATCCGTCCAAGGACCATTGGCGCAGGGTGCCGGATCGTCCAGACGCCTGGCGTCTTGCTCCAGACTCCTACATTTGGCTCCCGTCGACGCAGCTTTTCCCCAACTCGACCTTCCCCAAGGAATTCGCCCTATTCATTACTCTCAGACTATTAAATGTAAGTAACAGACACGACACCAGGGTTTATACAAAAACATGCATTTGCAAAAAACCGGTTTTAGAATTTCTTTATTTCTAAAAAAACCGGTAAAAATGCATAAAACCATAAATATATAACAAATATGTATACTTATAAAGATTTGAAGTTTTTCCAATGAAGAGGATTTTTCAAATACATAATTAAATAATAAAATGTTTTTGTATAAAAAACCGGTTTTCAAATTTTACAACAAAAACGGTATCAATAAATCTATTAAAGAGACACCAAACTGCATATTTCGCTTATTTAGTCTTTTGAAATTACTAACAAACCCAACGAACAAATAAAGAAAAGATACGTACATAAAGAGATGGTAGCAAACGCACGCATCTCCATAACAAATTCAGCAAATTTACATAGCCATGAGAAAAACCTCTTTTATAGACGCGTTTTACATATTCTCTGCTTACATTGTCGACTTATATGAATAGTAAACAAGATATACCCCTATCTTTGTTACTGCTCCTTTCACTCTTTATTGAAGATAAACAGGGCAGATAATTTCGGGGCGTTTTCTAGTTTGTAAAATAAACTGAAACTTTACACAATGCTTGAACTAAAGACAAAACGACGTTCATAAAAGATTGCAGTTACTTTGAGATTTTCAATACAACTATAAGCCAGTATATATATATATATATATATATAAATTAAATTAGTTAAGTTTATAAAGAATATATTCTGAAGAATATTTTTTATATAAAAATACTGTGAGATTCCTAAAACAATGGAAACTAGATATTTTCAGCTTAGTTTTGGTTATACAAAATACTGATAGATTTAATATTTTATGGCATTTTTTTTTATAATTTAAAGCATTAAAAAATAGGTTAACTTAACCAATAATATGACCCAATTCCCATAAAAGACTTGTTGACAAGACTATAAGGATTAAAATTTATAAAGTTTGTAAGTAAGTTGATAATTCCTTATTGTAGATACACTGAATGTTAAATAATTATTCGAAGAAAAGACGCAGCATATTATGTTAATTAACGTAACAATAAATTATTAAGAAAAATATTATTTAGTTAATTCTGTTTTTTTTTTGTATCTGAAATTGGTAAAATTTTGTTATTTAATTTAAATTTGATTTTTTTTTTAGACAAAGTATCGAAATGCACATAATTGTTACAATAGGTACAATAATTTAATTGGCTCCGTGCTATTGAAAACCGTGTTATTCATGAGTCAATGAATCCCAAGCACCGTGTTATAATGTTGCACCCTGAGGCGAAATGTAGCGTTACAAAGAATTGTAAAAAAAAAGTATACTTTAATTGAAGATTCGTGTTATTCGAGTGATGTACGAGAAGTTTTGACCGCGTTATTAGAGACTAAACTTTCTTTAAAATATTATTTTTTTCAAAGAATTGAAATTATTACTAAAAGATTATTTTTTATTCTTTGTTTCTCAATAAAAATCGATATAATTTTGTGAAACATTTTCAAATATTTTTTTTATATTTTACATATAATATTGATGTGTTCTTTGGTAAATAAACATTTATTGTGTACATACAAAAATACATATCTTAGGGATATTGACAGTTCCGTCCTATTTTTTTTTTTTGGTTTGATAACTTATTGATTATGACGAATTTTCAAGTAAATTTTGCAAAACAATATCTGGGTTAATTACAATACAATTTTCATTAGCCCATCAAATATTTAATACCAATCGAATGTGCGTCGAGCCTTAAAAATGCAAACATTTGCGGACGAAATAATTTTCCAAATTAAATTTGGGCAAATGGCCTCATCACAAATTCATGCGAACCGTTGATATTATGATGTCACATTAAATATTAACACAATACAAAGGCTCCCTCTTTTTTTTACAGTTACGGTTACTGCTCTAATTTTGGTTGTTTTAATTACTTTTTTTTATTTATATAATCCTATAAAATTTTATTTAGGACCGGATTACATAATATATTGGGCGCTTCTGAAAGCTTTTGCTTTATAAACCTTGCGTGCATCGATTAATTAGGGACTAATCTGATCTTATTACTAACAGCATAGCTAACTTTGCGAAGCTTGATGTATAGACTTTTAATAGAAATTACAGATTATCGCATAGTTTCGTGCTTAACCACAAACACTAATGGAATGAATGGATCGCAATTATATTATTATTTACCTTAACATATTTCATGTAAGCTTCCAAGTGAAAAGCAAATTTTAATTTTTGCTGTAATTTTTATTATTTTAGACCAATTTATAATACCTAAACTAACTATCTCTAATAATTAAGTCATTAGGCAGATGTACAAAGGTCATTATTTATTGGACCTTTGAGTTTGTGCACAACATGTTGACTAACAATAGTGATTAAGAATAGTCGTTACACAATAATTAGTTATGGGATCTTCCTAAGTGGTATTTGTTCTAAATCTTGATGACTTACATAAATAAACATGTATAAAATAATAAGGGCTAACATAATATAAACAATAGTCCGACTAAAAAGTGTAGTTTCATATAAACCTTCAGTATGTTAACGATGAAACGCAAAAAAAAACAAAAAAAATATGTAAATGCATGTGTTTATATGGTAATATAAACATATGCAAACATATAAACTAAAAATAGTCAACTGAAATACTTGAAAACCTACTTATAGTATTCTTAGACATAGTTAGTTTAGTTTAACGGCAAAGTGTACGTTCATATGAACCTTTTGTATGTTCATGTGAACGAAGAGATGTATGATTACAAAAAAATAGTAAATGCGTGTTTTTATATAGGAAATCACGATTCGCTTAAGATACTGAAATATTTTTACGTATTGAGCAATCACTGACTGTCTTCCTCAGATTGTTGGTCTATTCAAAGTAAAAATAAGTATATTTTAGAATCCTCAATTTAGATTATACGCTTTAAAGTTCTTTTGCAACGCTATGTGGAATCCAAACTACAAAGGACCTGATTTCATCTATCCGACGTTATCAGGGCACTTGCAAAAAGGGTTCTCTACATAGGTATCGAGTGTTAAGCGGAGATTACCAGTCTCTATCGGGGTGCAGTATATTCTCTATTCCTCTCCTCTCCTAGTCTTTTCGCTGAGTCGGGCGCAACGCTTGACCTGAATCCATATGAATATGTCGCTTCCTGCAGTTTTTGTCTTGTGCACTCTGAATGTAATTCAGTGGTTTTTCTCTTGATAAATGGACTACAGTTTCCTGCCATAAAAAATACATACAAATACAAACACTTATTTCGCACAAAATTATTTCATATTTCTGTTCGTTCAATTATACTGTTTTGTTTTTGTTTGTTAGACGTTTTCTCTCCGAGATTGCTATCGATTTTATGTCTGCCACAGTTTTATTGCGTAATAAAATGCGAAATTCGTTTGGATCAAGTTTCCAACAATAAGCTTAGAATGTAAGCGAATTACCGTTGTATCGATTATCGAAGATCAAAGAAAACCTTATTGGAATTCAGTACCTTTGAAAATACTACAAATATTTTCTCTACAATTCCATCTACTTGGAATTCCGTGTATCATAATAAGAAATGGGAAGAAGTTTGTGAAAAAATTCTATTATATAAACTCTAGACATACTTCATATCATTTATTAGATGAAAATGATGAGAAATCGTTTCGACTATGTGAAAGCGAGGCTGATACATTTTTATCAGACTTTTTTTGCGAACCCGGAGCGAACTTTATGAAAATTTACGACCGACGTAAATATTTTCTATTTTCACTCCTTAACTGAATATTAAAGAAAAATGCTATAAATTTCAATCTTTTATATCAATTAATATATCTTTGCAGAAATAGTTTGCAATTGCATTTATATATAAGAAAATATTTTTTTATATTATTTTGTCTATTTTTTACCAAATATAGAAGATATAAAAAGTAAATAACAAAATAGTAAACATAAGGATAATTGTAAGTATATGCCTATTGATCTTTACACATAATATCTTAATAATATTAACATTTTCTTTATTTTCTTCATACTTTTCCAAATGTTAATACATTTTTTTAAAGGAGCAAATATCTCAATTCCTCGTCAATTATAAAGATTGAGATGAAATTTTATTTTGAAATTAAGTTGAAAAAAATCATTAGGTTTAATTACATGTAAAATGTAATAAATAAATAGTTTATTATATATTAGTAATAAATATATTACATCGTAATTAAAAAAATATTCATTATATTAGAAGTACTATTTCATTTTTATTTAAAAATATTATGCAGATATATTGCGAGATGTCCGACGTCGCAGCGACATATTTTTTTTACTGCGAAATTACATTTTCTTAATTAAATATTCTTTCTCAAGGCAAACAGAATGATGACTCGGCCCAAGATAAAAAAAAGTTAATTAAAGAAATATCAAACAATCTGGGAAAAAAATCGAGCGTCAATTAAAAGTCTTGATTTAAGTTCTGATAAATTATCTAAACTGACTAAATATATATAGAATTACCCTAATCGAGGACATTAAAACCGCATAAAAATAAACCACATAAAAATTTCTTTATAGAGACAAAAAAAAATGATCATTTATGTATAAAATATATTTTTGTGTAGAATTTTTTTCATTAGACTATAGGACTGCTAGAAACCGGACAATGCGAGGTATTGCTGTATACAATTTTAATTTTGTTCGTTAAATGTTTTCAGTCGTTTGTTTAAATATTGGTATTATTTATTGTTACCTTAGTTCATTTATTTTCATATGTTGATTTGTGACTTCCCATGAACCTCTTTTTGATAAATATCTTCAAAGATTTTATTCTAACAAAAATAATTAATGTTTATTATTTATATTAGTAACAAATAAATAAATAAGTTTTCTATACTTTTATTTTCTTTGTATATCGGTTCCATTAAAACTTCGTTCAGATTTTCGGTATTTTCCATCGAGATAATGGCCTCTGTCTCCCGACGGTATTGAAAATCATTCCAGTCACATCGACAATTGATACTGCGGGAGTTCAATGTGTTCATTAAAACTTCATGTTTTTTTCTGCCTGTATAAAGCAATCTACGTAGAGAATATTATTATTTGTGATAGAATCGATAGAACAGTGTGCACAAAAAAATATAACACTTGATTTGAAGCAATGGAGGATAAAATCAATAACACTGAAAATAAATTGGATTGTCCACGTAGATATAGTTTTCTTATTGTCTTAGTAATAACAACATGTTTTGCTACAATCATACAGAAATAATAACAGACTTCGTTTAACGAGTTCTTCGACAACAAGCGCTAAACGAGACAACGTTATTCGAAGTGAATTTAATATATAAATATTTTACTATATCTTAAAATTATCTAGTACACCTAGTACACTTCAAAAGTTAAAGAGTACTGCACATTTTTTAGGTTTTGTTTAGATTTCGTTATATAAAATCAGCGTTATTCGTGGTTTTACTGTATTGACAAAAAATGTGAAATTACAAAATAAAATTGCAAAAGATATATGGTCTTAATAAACTAAATTAATTAGAACACTAAATTAAATGTTCTTAAATAATTTACAATACTTTCTAGTTAAATAAATTGTCTTGCAGATGACAAATGTTGGAAAGTCAGAAATTCTCTTAGTTATTAATATTTATAATATGCAATTCAGGTGTTAATGAAATCTAAACGTATTTTCTTAATGAATCCAATTAATTTCTAGAGTAATGTTTGCGCAACTTTCATATAATTTTAAAGTCATAATTTGCAACATATAAACATATCTGTTTTACTATAAAGAATATGTAATTATAAGGATTTATCATATTTTCATACATATTTTGTGGCTTTTTTAATATACCATTTAATTTGATTAAATCAAATCAGTTTGATGGTTTTGTGAGTCACAAACATTAATTAATTAATATTGATCAGACTTCAATATAAAATCCGCTATGAAAACGCATCAACGTTAATTAATTAAATCATAAATGGGGCAATGTGTACGTAGTTTGGAAAACGTACTAAATAGTTATATATCAACTTCAACGGCTTCACAAATTAATGGGTAAACGTATAATTTGAAAAAAGAAATTTATCAGCTAAATGTGAAATATTTTCTTTAAATGAAATTAATTATCAAACAAAATATATTAAAAGGAAAAAATAAATTTAAAGTTAGATGTTCGTTAAGTAATTGCTGAGTTACTTGTCAAGTAGAACATCTATAACGTTTTCATTATACTTTTTCTTATAATAAAAGAAACTATAATACGTGATACTTCGTTACATCGCAATTATGACATAATAGAAAATCCAGATTTTTAGTTTTTTTTTTATATGTATAAGATATTTAAATCTATATACAATTGCTGAGTGACTGGTGGTAATGTGAGGAGAATCAATTATTTATTCAACATACTTGTACTTACAAAAAGAGAAACTATTGTTATACATATTGTCAAGTAGGACATTGCATATACAGGATGTGAATAACTTGTTCTTTATATTTGTACTTGCAATAAAATAATCTAATGTTATCGAAGAGAATATACATATCATACACAATACTTGAGAAGTTACTTTGCAATTGTGCCATTGTGGAAATGTTCGATTTTTCAATTGTTCTAGTGGTAATTTAGAGATTCTGGAATTGAAATGTATGCAACTATCATATTTTGCAATGAAAGATAATAAACAATACTCATAACCATTTTAACGGTTCACTTATTCAGCCATATTATGAGCTCCTCAATAAATCCGTAACTAATTATAAAATTTACAAAACGCTTTAACTCATCTATTAAATTTAATTATACATAAGCATAATCAATATTGAAATAATTAATTTTTGAAAATAAGAACATAGAATATTTATCTTCATTAATTCCTTTACTTTATACTTTAATGTTTCAAACTGCTTTATATATTATATTAATCTACAATTCATTTAGTTTATAAAATGAGTATAACTGGTTGCATAAATAATTCACGAACATTGAAATTTGTGAAATACAAATTATACACCATAGTGCAGTTTCAATCAGTCCGGCTTCACTAAAGTCCGATTGGAAACAGATAAATATATATCTTCTATGTTTGTATATAAATTCTATATTGCATAAGAGAAATCTTAGAATAACCTTTTAGGAACAAAGAGCCATTTTGCATCACTTTTTAGTGATCTTTTGATCGCCATTTTTCTAATGAAATTAATATTGGGTTAGTGCATAATTCAATATTTCAATATAGTCTTCATATGCACCGCTAGCTTAAGCGGAATGGGATAACTGCTATATAAACTTTAACATCTTTCCGAAACAGGAGGATAAAGAAAGACGTGATTCTACTCGGAAGAAACCTTTTGTTAATGTTAGAAATCATGCTGAAGTAAAAGGGTTTACTCGGTTTTATGAAAAGACAAAATATGTTCCTGTACAAAAGAACGGTCAGTTTTTAAAATCTAGGTAACATGTAATATAGATGTTTTTAGTTTGCTATACGATAATCTATTGAAATAATATTCTATTTTGTACTTCTCCGAATTTACTAAATCTTTCTAACGGTTAAATATTTTTCTTGAACCTTTATCTCAATTATTTGTGTACTGAAGGTTAAAGATTTTCCAGTTGCTTTCTCTATTTGCAAGGAGTGCAATAAAAAGAGACAAAGCTTTAGTTAAAATCTAAACTTGATGGAAAGGTAAAAAAAAAAATTTCTAAATTAGGTAGAAAGACTTATGGTCAATTTAGTTTTTTTTTTCTTATGTCATTTTCTTAAGTTTGTATTATGGTTGTTGCAATAAATATTAGTATCACAATTTTGTTGTAAATGTATTTTTTTATTGGTAATATGCAATTATTTTATTGGTAATATGCAATTAATAACAATATCCAATGTTTAAACTCAAAATTATGTTGTATTTTTTTTATAAATTTATGGAAAAAAACAATTTAAAAACCCAGGAAAACACATTGAACTATCTATTGTGTATATAATGTGGGCGGCTTTTGGAGTAATAAAGCTAAAGTCTAGGTTCGGATCGCACGTATAATTCTAATTACAAGATCCAATTGCTTACATCAGAGATATTGCGTATAAATATTTCTATTTGCAAATATAACATTGAGAAAATTAATAACTGCACCTATATCTGGCTATAACGGTTTTTTTTTTAAATTATGACTCTTTTTCTATTTAATAGAAAATAAAAGTATAAAATAATTCGTTATACGGTATGGTAAAATAAATGATAAAAAATATGTAGTAATAAAAATGTTCATTTCTTTAAAATTTATTTATACTATATATTTATTTTTTGATACCTCTACCATGATGAGATTATATAATAACTGTATCCTTATCTAATTCGCAATACTTGCATTATGGATAGTTGCTACAGCAGGTACCTGCAGGAAAACAAAATTCCAAGAATTTTGCATGCTTATACTCAGAAACTTACTTCCATGTCGGTTTATTGCCCGGCTGGCGTTTGGTCAGAAACTACAATAGCCTACTAGAAGGAAAGCTGTTCAAAGCTTAGTTCTTCAGTTATTTAACACTGGAAAAATATTATATTAATATTTGAACAAAAGTTTTTATATTGTATTCTTCCAGAATATTATAATTACTTAATTTTTTGATTTATTTCTATTAGTAATTCTAGATAATAAATATCATGTTTCAATTCTGCATGTCATGATTTTATGAAAATAGGTCATAAAATTAACTTTTTACAATTACTAATTAAATGGGACACTCAACATCTGTACTAGCTAACATTGTATTATTTCGGTAATTAAATATATGTGGTAAGACTAAAATGATGCAATTTATATGTATATATATTACAAGATAGTTTACATAATCCATAGTTTGTTATTTAAAGTTACTAGAGGACATGTTTCTTTCCTCACCGTAAAGCTGACATGAGTCGAGTACGGTTTCTTTGCTTTAATACGTTTTAGTGCAACGTTTTTCTAATTACTTGGGTATTGGGTATAAGATTTACAAACTGCTTTTTCTCTAAAAATGGGTGCTATAAAAATGTGATAATTAATTTGTTATGCTAAGTTTCATTTATATTTTGGATATTTTGAAACAAATTAACGTCTTTTCTATCATATCATAATTTTAAATCATTGTGATTTTAATGTCAAATATTAATAATTTACCTAAAATTTAATTATTCGTATACAAATTTGTATATAATAACTTGAAATTAGATTTTTGTGAGATAATATTTATTTTTAAAATATTTGAAAAACAAATTATAATAAAAATGCTGATTTCTTTCAAATTTATTTTTTTTTGTATCTCAACTCTGACGATATATTGTAGCCCCATATAATTAGCAATACTTGAATTACTTCATTAGACGGTGGACCAGCATTGCTAATGGTAATATATCTGCTGGCGGTTCATGCAAAGGATTCTACATGTTCTGAAACCTGATTAACTTTATCATTTCTTAGAAATGAGTTTCTTCTGTTTTTAATTTATCCAAGCGACGTTTCAATATTAAAATTTATATTTCGGTAAATTTGTTAATTATCATTTTCTTGGCCAAATCGCATTACTGCTCCGAGGATGACAGTCCCCGCATTTTTGCTTTTCCATGTTTTATTCCATATTTGTTGCCCCTGTGAAAATATTTTCTTGTTTTTCTCAAACTTGGAGTGTTCAAAGTATATTAGGAGCAACGACTAGTCTGATTGCAAAAATATCGATAAGCTGAAACATTTTATATCTACATTGCGGCAAGTAATCGACTAGGTAAAATTAAATAAAAAGGTGGAATAAGAAACAAACTTTGGAGATGCTCGTAGTTATGTTTATTAGACATGATTTATGGCTAGTTACAATACAGTGTGATACACAGGATACATATGTTACAAAGGTTTCTTACAGTATAATGAGTCCGAGGCCCGAGAGCAACACAGAGAATACTCACGAGATAATACCGGGAACCTTACAGCTTATTACTACACACAAGGGATGCAGAAGCGAAGACAGGAAGTAAGAGAAGAGAGTAAAGACAGAGCGGGTACAGATATGTTGCAGCTTATATACCCTAACCGGGTAGTACCCTTATCAGACCCTCCCGGAATATCACCTGCGGGCTGGAGTGGAGCGCAGCGTAACGGGCTTGTAGGTGATGTCATATAAGCGGGCTGGAGTGAGCACCACAAAACTATTAAATATTATAAATTGAATGTTATAAATTTCAAAAATATAATATGTAATTTATCCATTAAAACCTTTTGCGATCGCGAACGACAGTTTGATACAATACGTACCTGCAGGAAATTCAAACAATTTTGCACCCTAATACCAAGAAACTTACCTGCTTAACCAGTTTATTGCCAGGCTGTCTTCTGGTGAGAAAGTATCTTACTAGATGAAAAGCTGTTGAAAGCTTAGTTTCACAGATAATGTACACATGAAAAATAATATTTTAGTATTTAAGCAAAAGTTATTACAGCCAACAAATATATTTAATATGTAGTAGTTTTTGAAATAACTTTCTCTTCTCTTGTATTGGTTAACATAGTATTATTTAGATATTCAATTTAATAAAATCTAAAACGTTGATGTTTTGTTCATCGCCGTAAAGTTGACATAGACTCATGTCACCTACTTTTTCTTGGCTTTAATTCGTCTGTCTTTGGTTCAACATTGTTCATTCTGATTTAATCCTGTATTAAAATACATTTGTGCGGAGATTGAGAGAATAGAAAAAAAATATTTCGAATTAATGTATTATGAAAGAAAACTGAATTTTCACCTTAAATACAACCACAACCTATAGAATACACCACGTTTTGCGAAATAGTTACTGTATTATTATACTTGATCATATCATGATGCAGTAAAATGTTTTTTAAACGGTTGTAACATTCCAAGGACAATAACATTATAACTCCCGTACAAAAGAATGGTCAGTTTTTGAAAATCTAGGTACTGTCTTGGTGTTCGTATTTTTCCAACATATTTGGGCGGTTGGGTTAATCATTGTGTATCAATGTTTTGTGTTATTTTCTTAAAATTTAAATTATAACTCGAAATTAGTAAATCTTCTATTTCATTTTTGCCATCTGCTATAAAAGCTGAACAAAATAGTATTTTATCCAACCATTATATACGTATAGTACGTATATAAAAAATTATTAAAGTTTTTTTTCATTAATATTATAATGACTGCCACTGATTATAATGATAGCCTCCGAAATTACGTATTTCCATATTTTAATTTTAATCTAGTTCCTTGGAAAGATCTTAATATTTCTTGTCAAACACCCTTTTTTATTTTATCATATCAAACTGGAATTCAACGTTCGAGTCTTTAATGATCATTAAAGACTCATCTGAAATCTTATAAACGCAGAATACAAGTATATAAATTTACCACAATATGAATTCCTTTAAAAAGAAATCAAAATACAATTACACTATTTCTGTTCCGAAATAATAAGTTTTTAATAACAAAAAATGACGTACGTTTTATAATAATATTTATTTATTAACGCATTATATAACATATCCTCTTTTATTTAGTTATATTATAAATCTTGTTTATTATTATATAAAAGAGACAATTTACAAAAGAGACAATTTTTTATATCAGGTGTTCTCACAAACTTTTTTGTACATAATGCGCCCCAAGTCAAAACATTTTATTTATTTCTTTGTTTCTTTGGTATCATCATCTTATTTTCAGTAGTTGCCTTATTTCTTTGTGAGTTTTTTGTGCGTTTTTTGTACGTTTTATCTTCGTCCGCGCATTTTGTAGTAATGTGCTTTTTGACGACACTTTCAGTAACGGAACATTTGGAACTTACCAAGCATATAATATCTGCAACCTTTTCCGGATTTAACTTTCCTTTGATATTTTTCCCCTTAACTGCATTACCGCGTCTCCCTGTCAAACAATGTGTTGCCAATGTTTTTTGACTAAATAAAGCTGACAACAAACCTCTTGTTGCAGCGGATGGGGTATTCCAACTAATTGTATTATACTTATTATATTGTATAACACTTTGATTTGGTCCAAATTTAACGACCTGTTCATCATTCTCCATTGTTACCGTCACATTACAAGCTGCTTGAGGTTTTTGTGCAGGATTCGAAGACACACCCTTGATAAAATTTAGCGTTTCTTCCATTTTAATGTTTTCTTCTTTTAATTCTTGCACGCGACGTTTGATCTTTAAAATTTCCTTATTCATTTTCCTGATCTCATTGCAATGATGCTTTTTATCAGAGGATGAGCGATTACGTTCCTTAGAATTCTGTGATATTTCTTTTAAATGTTCTTCACGCAATTCCTCCAAATTCTCTTCAATATATTGTTTTGAATCTGCATAAAAAAGTAATTGTTAATGGTTTAAATAAATATGAAGAATAGAAAATAGTTACCATTGATAGTGACGACAGTCCCCCGCATTTTTACTTCTCCACATTTGATTAATATTGTTGCTCCTATGAAAATATCTTCTTGTTCTTCGCAAAACACTCTGCTTATTTTTATAATATCAAACTTGGAGTCTTCAAGACACATTAAGAGCCACGACTCATCTGATTGCCTGGAGTCCAAAAAAGCTGTAAAAAATAAACGTATTGATCAGATTGTATTTAATTTCATAATTCTATTCGCAAGTTATAATTAATGGAATATAGTTTGTGGTGCTCACTCCAGCCCGCTAATATGACGTCACCTACAAGCCCGGTACGGCCCGCAACTGTTATTCCCGGAAGGTCTGATAAGGGCTCTACCTGGTTAGGGTATATAAGAGGCAACATATCGTTACCCGCCCTCTTTTTACTCTCTTTTCTTATTTCCTGTCTTCGCTTCCGCTGCTCTTGTGTCTTAATAACATGTAAGTTTCTCGGTATTATCTCGTATGTATTTTCTGTGTCGGGCCTCGGACTCATAATACTGTAAGAAACCTTTATATCCTATGTATCACACTATATTGTAACAAGGTATGATTAACTACAAATAAACATATATACGAGCATCTCCAAAAGTGCATTAGAAATTAAACTTGACTATCTGATTATTTGTAACTAATTAACAATAGTTTCATGGAATAACATAAATAAATAATTTGTAATGATCATAAAAGCAAACATAACTTACCCATTGCTGAAGTTGATGCGATGAAGTACAAACTACAAACTTGCTACTATAATGTATAAGCTATACTTGTAGTTGATTTTCTTTACTTGAACGGAGTACAAGAAACGATGGAATGAAGATAACTTGACTACTCAAGGTGCGAGTTGTAACTGCTGATGGGAGTAACAAGAACGTCATGTACTCACTAGGACTTCTTGTGGAAGGGATACATCAGGTACCTTCAGGAAAGGAAAATTCGAACAATTGTACATCCTAATACTCAGAAACTTACTACCATGACTGGTTTATTGCCCGGCTGGTGATTGGTCAGAAACTACAATCTCCTACTAGAAGGAAAGCTGTTCAAAGTTTAGTTCCTCAGTTATTTTACGCTGGAAAAATATTATATTAATATTTTTACAAAAGTTTTTATAGTGAATTCTTCGATAATATTATAAATACTTTTTTTATGATTTATTTGTAATTGTAATTCTAGATAATAAATATCATGTTTCAATTCTGTATCTCATGATTTTAGGAAAATTAGTCATAAAATTAACTTTTTACAATTGCTAAGTAAATGGGACACTCAACATCTGTTCTAGCTAACATTGTATTATTTCGGTAATTAAATATATGTGGTAAGACTAAAATGATGCAATTTGTATGTATATATATATTGCAAGATAGTTTACATAATCCACAGTTTGTTATTTAAAGTTACTAGAGGAAATGTTTCTTTCCTCACCGTAAAACTGACATGAGTCGAGTATGGTTTCTTGGCTTTAATACGCCAGTTTTTCTAATTACTTGGGTATTTTGTATAAGATTTACAAACTGCTGTTTCTCTTAAAATGGGTGCTATAAAAACGTGACAATGAATTTGTTATACTAAGTTTCATTTATAATTTGGATATTTTGAAACTAATTAACGTCTTTTCGATCATATCATAACTTTAAAACATTGTGTATCAATGATTTTAATGTCAAATATTAATAATCAATCCAAAATTTTATTATTCGTATACAAATTTATATGTAATAACTTGTATTTAGATTTTTTTCAGATAATATTTATTTTTAAAATATTTGAAGAACAAATTATAATGCAAATGCTGATTTTTTTAAATTTATTTATTTTGAACATTTATTATCTCAACATGACGATATACAGCCTCGTATATTGTAGCTTCATATAATTAACAATACTTGAATTACTTCATTAGACGGTGGACCAGCATTGTTAATGGCTATATACCTTCTGGTGATATTTGCAATGACTCTCTATGAACATTTTTAAAAGGTGCTGCTGGTGGTTTTTGTATAGGATTATACATGTTCCGAAACCTGATATCTAATTAGCTTTATCGTTTCTTAGAAATGAGTTTCTTCTGTTTTTAATTTATCCAAGCGATGCTTTAATATTTTTATTTTATTATTATTTATATACAATTTTTACAATATTTTTTATACATTTTTATTATTATTTACTTATGTGTATGCCCCTCAGCTTCGGTTCTTTCGGTACGCTCCTTGGAACCGGTATTTTGAGCGGGCTTGTTGGTTTACCATGTTCTATTTCTTTGTTAATTATCATTTTCTCCGAGGATGACAGTCCCCTGCATTTTTGCTTTTCCATATTTTATTCTGATTGTTGCCCCTGGGAAAATATTTTCTTGTTTTTCTCAAAACACTCTGCTTCGTTTAACGATATCAAACTTGGAGTCTTCAACGTATATTAGAAACAACGACTAGTCTGATTGCAAAAATATCGATAAGCTGAAACATTGTATATCTACATTGCGGCAAGTAATCGACTAGGTAAAATTAAATAAAAAGGTGGAATGAGAAACAAACTTTGAAGATGCTCGTTGTTATGTTTATTAGACATGATTCATGGCTAGTTACAATACAGTGTGATACACAGGATACATATGTTACAAAGGTTTCTTACAGTATAATGAGTCAGAGGCCCGAGAGCAACACAGAGAATACTCACGAGATAATACCGGGAACCTTACAGCTTATTACTACACACAAGAGATGC